TTTTTTTTTTTTTTTATAGATCGGCCTGAAATTATTACGCATCCTAAGAACTTTACAATAAAAGAAGGACTCCCCATGACCTTATTTTGTAACGCGACCGGAAATCCACCACCAACACTATCATGGACCAAAGATGGATCTCCTTTAAATGACACCCAAGGGATAACTTTTTCAGGAGACAACAAGACACTGTCTATAGCGAGTATTAACAGATCGGAAAGCGGAAATTACAGATGTGTTGCCAGCACCGGCCTTGGAAATGATCTCTCAAATCCTGCAAAAGTCGACATACAGTGTAAGTGCTCCAGTAATTCTTTTCTGTTTTACCTAATTTGGAAGGAGAAATTCTGTACAGTTAATAGGATTTAAAAGGTATTTGGCACAAATGAATGTGAAGGGGGAAGTAGCGATGGGTTCCGCGGAGTTGAAAGCAACAACCTTAGGAATCACCATTCAGTCTTAAACTGAGTTAATGTCAAGTATAAATCAGACATTTTTTTATACCACAAACGTTTACTTATGAGAACTGAACACTAAGAAAATTTATGATACCATTGGTGTCGCAACTTATGCAAAAAAACAAAATGTTTATCTTTGTGTTTCGAATTTTCACAAAAATTTTGCAAACTTTGAAAATGGAAATTAGTTGTCCAGGACCGAAAGTTGAATGTACGCGCCGAGTATTCGTAAACAAATATCTGGCTTGTTGTTTCAATTCCCTGTTGCATAATTTTTTTTCTCGTTTGGTCCCGCATTTGGGTAATTTCCGGCAATTTCTTGGTCGATTGTAGTGCCATCAATCTTGTCAGCTTCATCTGAATGTCGACAAGGACGGCAAAGATGTTAGAACTTTTCGTTAAACATCGCCCATTATCACTAATGACAAAGCATTCCTAGGTCCTAGCAGAAATAACAAATCACGTTTTCTCATTTATCGTTAGTTAGATGATGAAATATACACAAGATAAGTATGAAAAAAATTGTACTAAGAATTGAAATATCCCTATAGTCTTTCACTGGTAAAAAGTCATGTTTGGAAAAAACTAATAAAATGGAAAAAATGACGAGGAGACTTTGAGATATGCAAAGGAATAAGCCGGTAGCTTGTGATATTCACTGATTTGAGTTAACAGAGCGTAACACTTATGTTTTTAAATTCCAAGTTGCACCTGAAATCGTGGAAAATCCGAAGGATGTCACCATAGTCGAGGGAGAAGATGTTGTGTTTAGTTGCACGGTAGATGGAAATCCTTCACCAAGAGTCACTTGGACGAAGAACGAGGAAAAACTGAACACAACAACAAATCTACAACTAACAGCGTCGTCACTGAACAACAAGCACAGTTTGACAATCAGAGATGTTCATCGATCGGATTCGGGACAATACAGATGTGTGATTATTAATAGTGTTGGCAACATAACATCATCTCCAGGAGATCTAAATGTACAATGTAAGTAACGTACAAAATCCCTTTATCGTTAAAAATAACTACAGTTGGTTTGGATCAGTTGTTTTTAAAACGTAATTGTTTTGGTATTTCAACCTCTTCGCATTAGTGAAAACACAAAAGAGTTGCTATTTTTTACGTCACGCACGTTCTCGAATTTTCTTTGTGATGATATTGCTTTTGTAACCTTAGAAATGATTAACAGAGCTTAGCCTTTTTTTGGCTGATTCTTTCTTCTTCCTCCTTTAATAAGAAAAAAATCCCCGACTATTGCGACTTACGGAAGTCGAAAGCGGTCTTTTTTAAAAGAGGAAAGACAATTTTTGACTTGTATGGTAATATAGAGCAGACAAGTTTATTATTAGTTATTTCAAGGTCGTGACCTAATCAACCGCAGCAAAATTCTCAGTGGTTTTCTTAGGGGGGTAGGGTACGATCAAATATTCTAAACAGCGGCTTCGATCGTACTGTGCTTCCTAACTATGGACGAAATTCAAGCCGGAACTTTTACGTTCAGAGAACGTCTCTATCATTGGTTCTTCGTCATTCTGCTGTTAGTGTCTTATTCATCAGTCCAAGGAGGTAAAAGTGATTTTTCTTCTTTTGAAGACAGAAGTGTTTGTAAGATTTGGAAGCGGAAATCATTTACGTTGACTTAACCTATTCTGTGTACGAGGTGTTTGCTCCGGCCGCGCATTGAATTTTCGCGTTAAATACTAACGTAATGATGGGAATTAGTTCTTTTATGTGTGAGAGAAGAAGCTTTTTAAGTTAAATTTGTTGAAATGCAAAGTTTTGGTCGATTTTCTTCGGCATAATATTTCGATATTGCAATTTAATTCGAATGTTTCGTTTTTCTTGTGTAATTATGACTTCGATTTAAATCCGCTTCAGCAAAGTTTAATCGAATTCATTGCTTTACTCACCAAACGTAAACTTCGTTTGCATAACGGAGATACCAAAAAATTTCGCAAACTTTAGTACATACAAGCTTATTTTACACACAGGTGCCAGTTAAACACCAATTATGACTCGAAAGTATTTCGAATATTTTTAAACTATTTGCACTTCCTCTTGATTTGGGTTACGCATATGTTACGTGGATAATTTTCCTCGATGGGACGTGACTGGTGACTTTATTTTGAAAATATAAGTTGCCATCGAGCGTTGGTGTTCTGAAACAACTATATTTAGCGGCTGGTTTGTTTATAAACGACCTTGGAACACGCAACGCAAATTGGAACTGTTTCTTGTTCACAGTTCCACTGTCAAGTTGAGGAAGTTATTATCTGTAGTCGTTCTGTCTTTCCTCTCAAAGCGCTAGATTTAGTAGCAGCACTGTATACCCTTTAACTGATAGAATGAGGAACGATCACCCAGTTGTCTGACAGCCTGAGTGTCTGTCACCGTCATTTACGCAATATTCATCATCATGCAGTTGGTCGGTAATGGCTTTCAAAACATGGCCAGAAGTCGATAAAATCAGAAATTGTTAGTTTTTTCACCTCTCCACAACAATTCTTTAGCCTCTTGATGCCAAAATGGTAGTTTAGTTCGAAGAAGTACATGCTCAATTCTCTTTGGAATGGATCACTTTTAAAGATTGTAAACTTGGCAACTGTTCATACACTGAGTTAGTGAGTTAATTATCAATCCTCAATGTCTGTGATGTTATGAGAAATCACTTTGTAATAAGTTCAAAAAAGATCAACACCAAGTTTTTATTTTTGTGTTCTAAAATTGTCTTTTCAATGTAGTAGTGCTTGTTGAGAGAAAATTAAGTACATGATTTTCATAACTCTCTTTTGCCAATTAATTTGTTATTAACATTTATGTGCCTGTGCCTGTG